CCGGGCCGTCCGGGACCCCCCGGGCTCCAGGCAACGGGCTGGATTCGCCCTGACTCTTCCTGGGGGACCGCGGCGAAGTGGCGCCAAATGGGCCCCCTGAGTTTGAACTCTCCCCTCCAGGCCTGCGGGACGCTGTGTTTGAAGATCGTGGCCAAGACGTTTTAATCAGGCCCAGTGGGGCCCATTAACAAGAGCGTCCTTTGTCAGCAGAGCCGCAGAGAGAGGAGGGGGCTATCGTGCAGGCCTGCAGCGACTAAGGCCATGCTATCGGCCCCTCAGAGCACAGGAGCCGGGGTTCACTCAGAGGAACAGGGCCAAGCCCAAGTCATGGCAATTGGGCCCATCAACGGGGTGTCAGAGATGCAGCCTGAGGCTGTGGGTGTCCCCTCCCCTGGCTGTAGAAACTGGGAACAGGCCGCAGGGGATGATCACGCAACAGGTCCCCTTCCGGTGCGCTGCCCTGGACAGCCTGGCCCCAAGTACAGCCGGAGACAGGGCATCGGCCGTGCTAATTACCAACGGGAGAGGGGCCGGAGCTCACGGATTATGTACCCGGCCAGAAACGAGTTACTTTCAGAACTCACACTGCATGTCCAGCAGTGCCAGGCTGTGAGCCGCCAGGCCCAGAGGTGCCAGGCTCTGAGCTGCCAGGCCCGGAGGTGCCAGGCTCTGAGCCACCAGGCCCGGAGGTGCCAGGCTCTGAGCCACCAGGCCCGGAGGTGCCAGGCTCTGAGCCGCCAGGCCTGGAGATGCCAGGCTCTGAGCTCTGTCCAGCCATGGCACTAGCTGAGCAATGCACAGTGGGGCAGAGGGACCCCGTACAGCCCCAGTGTGGCTGTGCTTATGCGCAGGGCAAGCACTCCCTGTGGGAACAGCAGGGCTTCTCCCACACATGAGGTGGCAGCTCGTGGAGGAAAGATCCCGTCCCTCTGCTTACGGTGTCTGCACTGGGGCTTCACCATGGTGCCGAGGGGTGTGAATTTCTCACCCCTGTCCCCGAGCGATGTAGCTTCTCAGTGCAGAGTGACCCTAAATATGGATAAAGAGTCTCAGGTAAAATGCATGAAACCCATGGACGGGCTCTCGCCTTCAACATGAACATGGTCTGAGCTCAAGGTAGCGTCTCCGCTGCCAAAGAGAATGAAACTGAACCCGAGGAGAGCCGCTGTAATTCTGGGGGAAAGCCCACTGAAGGGCTGAATGCGGGTTAACGAATCCACTTCTAATCCAGTTAGTTTTCTTGAGCATCCCCATGTGGACAAATCCATGGAGTGTCAACTTTGGCATCAGAAACTTTATTCTGAAAGTTTATTGTGAAAGTCAAAGAAAGAAAAGACAGACGGACGGACGGACGGGCGTTTGGCTGCGCATGAGAGAAGAAAAGACAGACAGACGGACGGACGGGCGTTTGGCTGCGCATGAGAGAAGAGAATCTGGGATGGGAAAACACAATAAAATGGAATTTTTTGGCAATTTCCCTTTATTTTTATGAGTCCTCATTTGACCTGGGCAGCCCTCAGGTTCTAAATGGCTCCTCGAAACCTTTTCCTCCCCCCGAGTCTCCTCAGAGCTGCCTTCACCTCCTGGTTCCTCAGGCTGTAGATCAGGGGGTTTAAGGTGGGGGTGACGACGGTGTAGAGCAGGGCCATCACCCGGTCCACCTCCGCCACGTGGCCGGCCTTGGGCCGCAGGTACATGGCGCAGGCGGAGCCATAGAACAGGACGACCACGGTGAGGTGGGAGGAGCAGGTGGAGAAGGCTTTGTGCCTCCCCTCGGCCGTCGCGCTCTTCAGGACGGTGCAGATGATGCAGGCGTAGGAGACCAGCACCGTCAGGAAGGGGACGACGGTGATGAGGAAGCTGATGAGGACGATGAAGACCTCGCTGCGAGAGGTGTCGGCGCAGGCCAGCCTGAGCACGGGGTGGATGTCGCAGAAGAAGTGGTGGATCCCGTTGGGCCCGCAGTAGGGCATGGAGAAGATCCAGATGACTTTGCCCAGGGGCAGCAGGATGCCGCAGAGCCAGCAGGCAGTGGCCATCGTGGCGCAGGCCCTGGGGTTCATGAGGAGGGGGTAGTGCAGCGGGGAGCAGATGGCCCGGTAGCGGTCGTAGGCCATGGCGGCCAGCAGGTAGCACTCCGCCGTCCCCAAAGAGAGGACGAGCTGCATCTGGGCGGCGCAGGCAAGGAAGGAGATGGTCCCCCCCTCGGCGAGGACGCTGGCCAGCATCTTGGGGATGGTGACGGTGGTGTAGCAGGCCTCCAGGAAGGAGAGGTTGCAGAGGAAGAAGTACATGGGGGTGTGGAGGGCCGGGTCCAGCGCCGTGAGCAAAAGGAGGACGCTGTTCCCTGCCAGCGAGAGGGTGTAGGTGAAGGATAAACCCACGCCAAAGAGGACTCGTGTGGCGGGATCCTGGGAGAAGCCAAGGAAAACGAACTGCGTCACCCTGCTGGGATTTCCCAGGGCTGTGTCGTTGGCAATGCGCATCTGTGGAAGGAAAAGGAGCAATATCTGGCATGCGGGTGTGATGGGGCGGTTCCCAGGGACACAGGCCACAGGGGAAGGGAACTGCTGGGTCATTTCCTCAGCCCAGTACAGTCCCTGCTACCGCAGGCATCCCGTCATATCGCCCAGGCCAGAAACCGACTCCCCGCCTCATGCTCGTGTGGTTCTTTGTGTCCCCCCCCCCCCAAGGGAGCTGTTCATACAATTGTTACCCCCTCCTCTAAGGGGGGGCTGTTCCCGCCAATGTGTTGGTTCTTCAGCTCCAATGGCGCATCTCCGTCCCAAGAGTTCGCCTCCAGGGTGCGGCCGTAGAGGGGAAAGGCGCCCTGCTCCACCTGCGTTATGCTAGGCTGAAAGCAACAAGCGCTGTCAGTCCTTTCGCATTCATCAGCTGCTATGAACCGGGGCAGCCACAGTGACCTTACGTGAGCTGGCCAATTTACAGCAACATCCACCCACCGACCCGCCCACCTA